CATAGTCAAAAGTTCTTTGCAAATTATGTCGTAGCTCGTGCTTTAGTTCTACTGTTTTAGATATGTTCCTAGAGAAAATATAGTTGAAAGTTGACAGTAGCAATTATGCGGACAGTAGAAAGCTTATGTCCTTAATGCACCGCTCAGTGTACTGAACCCCAAACGTCGTCCATAGATGTTGCGAACATCGGACATACACGTTTTGATAACTACGTGATAGTTCAGTTAAATGGTTTAGAGTTGAGGCACCAAAGACGATTTCGAAACGTCGCGGAACATATGAGATGTTTCGAGGGCTGAAATTGAGATTTCAGGCTCGTGCCCACGTCAGAGGTACAAGACCTCCGACGATTTTCTTAGCCTGCAAACTAAGGGAGAAAATCTCAATCATTGGGCTTGTGCTCAGATTGTCTGAGTACAACAAATCACTTGAATCGAGTGGGAGTTGATCTTCCAGATGAGATAGTGATGTTTCTCCAAAGTCATTGCCACCAAGCTGCTAGAGCTTCGTGATGAACTATAACATATCAGGGATAGATATGATGATCCTTGAAGTATTCACGATGTTTAACACCGCGAAAGTAGAAATCAAGAAGGAGCATCAATTGTTAATGTTGGTGAAACCACTAGTTTCAAGAAGGGCAAGGGCAAGAAGGGATACTTCATGAAACGGCAAAATAGTTGCTGCTCCAGTGAAAACCCAAGGTTGAACCCAAACCCGAGACTAAGTGCTTCTGTAATGAGGGAACGGACACTGGAGCAGAACCACCCTAGATACTTGGTAGATAAGAAGGATGGCAAAGGTCGATAGAAGTATATTTGATATACATTATGTTAATGTGTACTTTACTAGTTCTCCTAGTAGCACCAGGGTATTAGATATCGGTTCAGTTGCTAAGTGTTAGTAACTCGAAATAAAAGCTACGAAATAAACTGAGACTAGCTAAAGGTGAGCTGACGATATTTATTGGAAGTGTTTCCAAGTTTGATATGATCAAACATCGCACGCTCCCTCTACCATCAAGATTAGTATTAAACCTGATTAATTGTCATTTGGTGTTTGCGTTGAGCATAAACATGATTGGATTATGTCTATCGCAATACGGTTATTCATTTAAGGAGAATAATGGTTACTCTATTTATTTGAATAATACCTTCAATGGTCTTGCACCTAAAGGAATGGTTTATTGAATCTCGATCGTAGTGATACACATTTTCATGCCAAAAGATATAAGATAGTAATGATAGTACCACTTACTTGTGGCATTGCCGTGTAAGTCATATTGGTATAAAAACGCATGAAGAAGCTCCATGTTGATGGATCTTTGGACTCACTCGTTTTTGAAAAGTTTGAGACATGCGAACCATGTCTATTGGTGTATACGCATGAAGAAACTCCATGCAGATGGATCATTTGGACTCACTTGATTTTGAATCACTTGAGACATGCAAATCATACCACATAGGCAAGATGACTGAAAAGCCTCGTTTTTCAGTAAGATGGAACAAGATAGCAACTTGTTGGAAGTAACACACTTTGATGTGTGCAGTCCAATGAGTGCTGAGGCATGCAGTGAATATCGTTATGTTCTTACTTCACGGATGATTTAAGTAGATACTGAGTATATTTACTTGATGAAACACAAGTCTGAGTTATTGAATGGTTCAAGTAATTTCAGAGTGAAGTTGAAGATCATTGTGACAAGATGATAAAATGTCTATGATATGATCATAGAGATGAGTATCTGAGTTACGAGCTTTGGCACGCAATTAAGACATTGTGGAAATTGTTTCACAATTAATACCGCCTGGAACACCATAATGTGATGGTGTGTCCAAACATCATATTTGCACCCTATTGGATATAGTGCGTACCATGATGTATCTTATCAAATTACCACTATCGTTCATGGGTTAGACATTAGAGACAACCGCACTCACTTTAATAGGGCACCACGTAATTCCGTTAAGACGACACCGTTTAAACTATGGTTTGGAGAAACCTAAGTTGTCGTTTCTTGAAAGTTTGGGGCTGCGACACTTATGTGAAAAAGTTTCATCGTGATAAGCTCGAACCCAAAATGGATAAATACATCTTCATAGGATACCCAAAATGGTTGGGTATACCTCCTGTCTCAGATCCAGAAGCAAGAGTGATTGTTTCTTGAATCGGGTCCTTTCTCGAGGAAAAGTTTCTCTCGAAAGAATTGAGTGGGAGGATGGTGGAGACTTGATGAGGTTATTAAACCGTCACTTCAACTAGTGTGTAGCAGGGCACATGAAGTTGTTTCTGTGGCACCTACACCAATTGAAGTAGAAGCTTATGATAGTGATCATGAAGTTTCGGATCAAGTCACTACCGTACCTCGTAGGGTGACATGGATGCGTACTACTTCAGAATGGTACGCAATCCTGTCTTAGAGTACAAAGGGTGAAACTATCCAGCCACGGGATTGTACAACCATGTATATTAAGGTTCTGGCGACGAACTTTGTTAGGGCCTCAACACCCAACCAGCCTGCTTGCAAAAACAATCACATTTGAAAGAGCCCGTCCGAGGGTGTTGTCAAAATTAATGTGGATGCCTGATTTTATGCCGAAATGTTGTCAGGAGTTACGGTTGTCATGGCGCGTGATGACCATGACAATTTTATAGCTGTTGGAACCTGGGTGCTACCACATGTGAGCAATGTAGGCTATGCTGAGATTATTGCTATCCAAAATGGTCTGATTTTGGCAGCAAATGTTGGTTATTGAGTCCGACAGTTCTTTTGGGGTGGATACACTCAACCAACTTGATGCATATATGGGGCCAGAAATCCCAATAGGAGCAGAATGCAAACAACTTACATCAAATTTTGCTAGTTCTAGTTTTATGCATTGCTGCAGAGAAGCTAATAAATACTCGCTTTCACATTTCTTTACAGAGGGAGCAACTAAGAGCAACTCTAGCAGACCCCGCATCCACCCCCGACCCGTAAAATAACTGCCAAAATGCGGGTACGGACCGGAAAGCCTGCCCGACCAGACCCCGCATCCCGCCCTGGCCCGCAAAACATTTTGGGGGGCGGGGCAAATTCCCGACCCCAACCCGGGAAAATGCAGGTTTCCCCCTCGCGGCTGCGTGCCCTGCATCACAGAGAAGCAGTTGGCGGGAGGGACATTTCAGCCCGCGCTCTTTTCACCCTCCTTCCGCCGTCGGCGATTCCGGCCATATCCGCGGGTGGAATCGCGCCCCGGGGCCGCCCCACACCCTCCCGCGCCGAGCCGCTGCAACGCCCCTCCGGATCCAGCGAGAAGAGCCGCCCCCTATCGCCGCCGCCGCCGGGGATCGACCATCGTCGCCGCCCGGGATCACCCGCCACCGGTTAGTCTTTTTGTTGTGATTTTTGCAAGCTGTGTAGTAGGTTGACACGCCGGTGTGTGTAGATGGAGTTGACCCCGTGCGAGAAGTTCTTGCTATCCGATTCGTCCGATTCGGACGACTCGGATGTTGAGACCATGCTTGCAATCTTTCGGCATCAAACATTAGCCATGGCGCTTGCCGTGAAGGAGCATGAAGACGAGCACCGGAAGAGGAGGCGAGGATCGACTGTCGGGCGTTTGTGCATTCCTCGGAATCGCCATCTTGGGAACGAAATGTTGATGCAAGATTATTTCGCGGAGAATCCTACATATCCTCCGCACCTCTTCCGGAGAAGGTACCGAATGCGCCGATCCCTCTTTGTAAAACTTGTTGCCGGTATTTTACTCAAAGAAGAAATGTCGCGGGCTTAAAGGGATTTAGTGCATATCAAAAAATCTCTGCAGCTATGCGGGTGATTGCATATGGTGTTCCGGCTGACTATGCCGATGAGTATCTTCGCATTGGTGAAGATAGCACATTGAAAGAGCATTCGGTGTTTTGCAATGTATGTTTGCCATTGTCCGTGGTCCTGCTCGTTTTTGGGATAAGAAAACCTTGAAGAACATCATGACATGCTGTGTTATCCTGCACAATATGACTCTTAAAGATGAGAGAGGATTGAGCTTAGAATTCTTTTAGGACAATGTGGGTAGCCGTGTCAAACCAGCTAGAGACCCAAACTGCATTAGAGATTTTCTTTAGACATACAAGGAGATTGAAAATGCAGACACCCACTTTCAACTACACGAAGATCTCATTGAACACCATTGGCAAAGGGATGGACAGTGACTTATTTTTGTATTCATTTGTATTTGTATTCATGACAAGTTTTGTATTGCACTATTTAAGTTTGCTACGGTTATTTGAATAATTATTCGTAATGCAGATGATTATTGTATTACGTTTGATTTGAATAATTCAGTTTATTTTCGATTCTTGAATTATGTTGTATTTGATATTTGCGGGCTGATGATATACGGGATGCAGCGGCGCAAAGAGCAGAACCCACAAAGCCGATCCGTAAAAAACTATATTCCGCGAATATACTTTTTTACGGATCCGTTTGGGGGTCTGCATCTGTGCCAGCCCGCAAAAACTGTTTTGCGTGAACTGCAAAAGCGTTTTGCGGGCCGGCGGGATGCGGGGTCTGCTAGAGTTGCTCTAATAGTCTAGCTCAGAATTCTTTTTGCAATAGAATCTCAATGTTCTGGGATTTCTCTTCCCTGACTTTATTCTCCTCAAATTGTAAACGATGCGGCCATTATTTTAGGAATAAAGTTTTAAGGTTGTAAAACAAAAGCCTAGAAATTAAACTTGAGTGAACAGATTTCATCACAATGATACCTTTTTTAAAGTATAAATCACAATGAACTATTTGTGCGCTCAGTTCGCGACGGGCGCACCGCGCGCAGATACCGCTTAATTCGAAAGAGGAAAACGCGTGGAAGAGGTGATGTGTGATTCTAGACAAACCCCGAAAGAAAGAAAAAACGAGGTGTTTAGTGTTACTCGGCGAAGCAGCGGAGAGCAGACACAACAGTCGTTCGTCAGGAACGGTGGTGTGAGAGGACTCCCCCAACTCCCGATTCCCCAAATGGAGGCGGCCGCATCGTCACCGTCGCCGGAGCAGCCGCTGCTGGCACCGCCGCAGGCAGGCGCCGGCGCCGGCGCGGGGCCCGGGAGCCAGCCCGCCACGCCACCGCCCCCGGCGGCGGCGAGGCCGAGCCGCCTCGCGGCGCTCATCGGGCGCGCGGCGGGGCGGCGCGGGCCGTCGATGCTGGTGCGCGAGACGGCGGCGCTGCAGCTTGACCGGAGGCGCGCCGACTGGGCCCACTCCCGCCCCGTCGTCGCGCTCGACGTCGCCTGGAACGTCGCCTTCGCGGCGGCCGCGGCGGCGGTGCTCGCGGCCTCCACCGCCGAGAGCCCCGCCAAGCCGCTCCGCCTCTGGCTCGTCGGCTACGCCCTGCAGTGCGTCGTGCACGTCTCCCTCGTCTGCTCCGGCACACGCCGCCGCCCCGCCGCCCCCGCGGGAGGCCCCGACATCGAGTCCGGCGCCGCGAACGCCGGGCCCAACAGCTCGGAGAGCGATGAGGGGAACGACGAGGAGGCGATGGAAGAGAGGGCAAGGTAAAGGCAAAACGAAGAACCCCCAAATTTTCCTCTGGTTTCGCTGTCGTTGAGTGGTAGAAGCTGAACTAGGGTTAGTGGATTGTGATATCTGCTTAACTAGAAATCACGCTTGTGCCTCTGTGTGTGCTTTGATGTGCTGACTGCCTTTTGATGATTTCGTTACTTGTGCAGCTCTACGGACCGTTGTGAGTCGGTCAACACGATGGTGTCATTCCTGTGGTGGATCATTGGGATCTACTGGGTGGTGACCGGCGGCGACATGCTCGAACAAGGTGCTCCAAGACTCTATTGGTACCGTCACCTTAAACCTACACCCATCACGCACTACATTTGTTTGTGGGAATTTGAATGCTTAATTTCTTGTGGCAAGCAGTTTGCAATTGCACATTTGTAACCGAAACCACTAGCGACATAGTTTTATCATACTCCGGATATTACAAGGACTCAAAAGTCAGTTTTATCATACTCCAGATATAACAAGAGTATGTGTTATATCTCGAATGTTGTGACGTGCAAAGTTGAATGCAAGACGGCAGAACAATAACTCTTTTGTTGTTAATAAACGTGTACTGTAAACCCAGAGCAAGTGCGCCAAAACACTTGTTGACTAAAGTGGTATGCTTTCATATGTTATGAATATGAACATTTATAAGTTTTGAAATCTGTTATCTAGTTAATAATATTATAAGCCATTACCCTTTCTGGTAAATACTTAATGCGACTGACAGATAAAGCTGTATTATTCAATCTTCACTACCAATTGGTGAGTGCTAACTTCCTATTAGACCTAACAGAGTTACCTGGCTTCTGATTTGTTGTGCAGGTTAACTGTCGTTTTTCTCGCGTTTGATGTCTTCTTCGCTGTTTTTTGTGTTGTTGTGGCCTGCTTCATTGGAGTTGCACTGTGCTGCTGCTTGCCTTGTGTCGTTGCAATACTGTATGCTCTGGTTGGCCAGGTAATCGATTTATTCTGCGTTTGAGGAAATTTCAGCTACCTTACTACACAAACTATTATTATTTGGCTCATTCCCTTCTCTCTTACATATGTAGGAGGGTGCATCAGATGCAGATATTGGCATTCTCCCCAGATATAAATATTCTGATCCCAGTGAGAATGGAGAAAAGGGAACGGACGAGGGGGTTATGATTCCTATCCTTAATAATAGTGGAACATCTACAAGCGAACGAATTCTTCTTCGTGAGGATGCTGTAAGGATTATGCTTTGTGCTTTCTAACTAAATAGTAAAAGTTGCTTTGTTTGTATGTATAGTTCTTTATATTATCTTTGATCTTCATATATCCTATTGGAAGTGAGCATATAGTTTAGTGATCATATAAGCAAAGGGTATTTCCTATCGGAAGTGAGCATATAGTTTAGTGATCTGTTACACTAGAGAGAACTATACATGTTATGCCAGTTCACAAATTTAGACAATCTATTCTCAGAAACCAAACAATGCTGTGAACTACCTATACAAACAAGAACGGTGCTCAGTTCTTTCTAGTCTTCCGATGCTCTGCTGACAGCTTGTTTGTTCTAACAGGAATGCTGCATATGTCTCTCATCATATGAAGACGGAGTGGAGCTATCTGCCCTCCCTTGCAACCATCACTTCCACTCAACGTGCATTACGAAATGGCTACGAATGCACGCAAACTGTCCACTTTGCAAGTACAACATTCTCAAAGGCAGTGAAAACTGAAAACTCACCGAGGACTTACACTGACATAACTTTCATACTCAAGGCCTGTATGCATGAACATCCTGGAGCAAGCAGCAAGTGAGAAGCCTTGTGATTCCCGTCTGTTTGTAAACTGATGATATCAATGAGAATCTGTTTGTAAACTGATGATATCAATGAGAGTCTGTTTGTAAACTGGTGATATCAGTGAGAGTTTTGTGAGGATTGGCTGTGCTTTCTGTTTAGGATGTGAGCATGTACAAGTGTACATGAATGAACATTAACATAAAGTGTGCTCTGTATAAGAAGGTCACAAAATAGCTTAACGTTTGGTTATGGACTCACTTTATGCAAAATATCTGTATATATTGCTTATGGATGTAAAGAATAGGAGTGATCACAGTAATCGTAGAAGCAGCTGGGTGAGTATCTGACGCTGCTTTTATGACAGGAGTCTGAAGATGACTCTGTTTACTACAGCAGTCATTTTTTTACAGCTGGTAGAAACCTTCATCGGACCTTTCGCAGATACTCCTAGGTTCTGCCATGCTCAGCGCATCAGCTTTCCATGTGAACCAAGATCAAATTACTTGTTCAAGACACACGACATATCAACAGTAAACACAACAATTTATAAGCAAGCAATGCACTTATGCACACAGGATTGCTATCGGTCCTTTAAAAAAAAAAGATTGCCATCGGAAATTCACCTACGGTCCGAGTGAAAAAGAGTCAAACAATTCTTCATCACTCTGAGAATTGTGAGCTGAACATCCCTCACTCCCCATTGCCCCTGACTATTACTCCCTCCGTCCAAAATAAGTGTCTCAACTTTGTACTAACTTCACGGAGGGAGTACAAAACAGTAGTGCAAGGTACAATGAGGCTGCACCCAATGACCCTGTGTGAGCTGACATGATGAAAGCCAGTGGTAAACAACACTACAAAACTACCAGCCATTTGCTTACATTTTACAGGCACCACAACATCTGCATCTAAGTAGTGTATCCACAACGAAAACATAGGTGTTTGATGGGCGGATCCACATCCACCATAGGGTCACAGCTGTCCAACTATCCTTCTCCTCCATTAGTTTTCATGGGTCGAAGCTCTGCCCTGTTTGGACATTAGAAGAACATTGGGAGGACGCCTTGTGCAGCCCCAGCCCCCCTACCGTGTTTCACATATCCCAACTCCACCTGACTGAGCACCGAAGCATCTATCTTCTTCTCCACTGGACACCAGATCATGTGTCATCTCTTCAGATAAAGTACCCATCTCCATAGACCTTCGAGAATGCATCATGCACATAAAAGTTCCTCTCTTGGATCATCGCACAGACATTTTCAGCGTCTCGCCACTGCCTACACCTGACGTACATATGCACAAGTAAAGTTTGCAGCACCACATTCGTCTCAGAGCCAATCTTAATGACATGAGCATGTATCTGCCTTCCGTAGCGCAAAAGCCCTTGGTACCGGCAAAGGCTTAGAAGCCCTGCCAAGGTGTATTGGTCAGGCCTAATGCAGGCCAGCTCCATCTGACGGTAAATGTTTATCGACGCACCTGGTTGTCCATCCCCTACATAACCCGAGAGGAGAGCGTTCCAGGATATCAGGTTCCTCTCGTTCATCCTGAGGAACAGTAACCGGGCAACCTCAATGCAGCCGCACTTTGCGTACATGTCGATCAGTTCAGTTTCCAAAACTACATTCATCTGGTGTATGGCCTTGATGGCATGGGCATGAATTTGCCTTCCATACTCTGTATACCTTCTGTTGCCACAAAGCTTAAGAAGGTTCACAAAGGTATGTTGGTTAGGCTTTATGTTTGCGGACTCCATTTGTTGGAAAACCTTGAGTGCCAAGTCAACCTGCCCATTTTCAACGTAGCCAGACAAGAGTGCATCCCAGGCTACATAATTCCTTTCATCCATTCTGTCAAACACCAGTCGAGCATGCTCCATCAAACCACATTTCCCATACATGTCAACAAGTGCGCTGCCCCGGATAGCATCAGTGTCTAATGCTCTTCTTATCAAATAGCCATGGAATGCACTGCCACTGTCAATGTCAGCCAAATGGGCACAAGCTGCGACTCCACTGCCAAGGGTGAATCGATCAACAGCGAAACCACATTGCTGCATCTGGATGACCATGTCGAGCGCCTCTTCACAAAGACCAAGACGAACATAGCTTGAGATGATGGTATTCCAACTGACTTGATCCCTGTCTACCATTGTGTCAAAAACTGCCCTGCAACTATCCATGTCACCACACTTCCCATACATGTCAATGAGGCAGTTCCAAACGGTGGTGTTCCTTTCAAATCCGAGGGCGACCGCCAACGCGTGCAGCTGCTTCCCACGAACCAGGCACAACAACGCACTGCACGCCTGAATCGCCATCACAAGAACCGAATCAACCGGAGGCACCCCAGCACGCTGCATTGCGGAGAAAGCATCCCATGCCTCGTCCCACCGACAAGAACGGACATAGCCTCCGATGACCACACTCCAGGAGACCATGTTGGCCTCGTCCATCTCAGCGAACGCGTTGCGCGCATCATCCATCAGCCCGAAATCGACGTACGCGCTGACCAGCGCGGTGCCCACCACGACGTGCTGGCACAGGGCGCACTTGATGACCACGACATGCGCGGCCCGGAGCATCCTGCTGTCCTGGAGGCGCGCGCAGGCTTTGAGGACGCTGGGCAGCATGAACCTGCTGACCGGCAGTCCGTCCCGCCGCATCCTGCAGAAGAGCTCGAGGACCTCCGCGTGCCTGCTGGCGTGGGCCAGCGCCAGGATCGCCGAGCTCGCGCTCTTCTCGCCGCTCCTGGGCGCCGCTCTTCTGGGCAGGCCACGTACGCTCGCGCCCTCGCCGCTCGGGCGAAGCATTTCGTCGAACAGGTTGCCCGCCGTGTCGGAAGTCGCGACGCTCCTCTCCTGCATACCGTCGAACGGCCTACGGGGGTTCACGGTTCTTGGGTTGGTTGGCGCGAGCTGTTCCTCTAAGGTGAGCGCGGAGACGGCCACGCGCCGGAGGAGATGGCGGCGACGGCGGCGGCAGCAGGGGCCCCATTTGAGGTGGGCACGCTGGGAGGTGGGATTAGAGGGAGGAAGAGGGAGCGGCTGTGGATAAGGGTGTAGCAGGCAGGAGTCCATCTTCCGCTCAAGTGAGCTCTTTGCCTCTCTCTCGCGGAGTACTTACTACTGACGACGACGACAGCAGAGTCGCCACGTCTGCAGAACCTATTCGGCTAGATTTTTTTTTTTGAGCCAACACAATGATTCTCCGAACGAAAATTTGTGATTCTATAAAAAAATTGTGAATATTCCATTTCAAGGCACATGAAAATACCATAGAACAAGCTTCAAAATGAAAAATCCATTTCAAGGTACATGAAAACACCGTAGAACAGTTGTTCTAGGCTTCAAAAAAATATTTATTTCAAGGCACATGAAAACTTGGAGCATCTTTGATTCAAAATATTTTCATAGGAATTTTAGAGGATTGAATCCTTTAAAATATATATGTTTGTTGTTCAATTTGTAGGATTCAATCCTATAAGACATTCTCCTAAGGATATTTTTCCTTTTGACGTTGCGTGTCTCAGGGCTCCAATTCATTAAAAAAAGATAGAAGAGAATTGATCAAGTATTTGTATGAAAACTCGGACAAAAACGATTAGAACATGCCCATAAGATAGGCACTCCAACCGACATGGCTACCCACAAGACCAACACACACCATCGCGGTCGTTCACGACGCATCACTTCTCCACTAGCAAGCGACACCGAGTTCACCACTAACACCCCACCAAGAGACCTTCAGACACGCGGAACCACACCGCCGACGGCGCCCGGATTTGCCTGGCAACACCCTCCGGCTGCGATGAGGTGAGGTCAACTCCACCGCGCGACCCCAAATGAACGTCCGTTTTGTCCAGATTCTGTCTGTTTGGGTAGGAGGATGGGCTCGTGTCCGGGCAGTTTCCGGGATGCGTCCGCGCGCTTGCGGTGACCGTGCGTCCAGCGCGCGGACACATCCCGGCCGCATCTTGTCCGCGTGCACTTTTCTTTGCAAGTCCTTAAACTTTTTTTCATCATTCATTTTTGATACATGACAATACATCATCACATTTTGACTAGTGATGCAAGGTCAAAGAAAACAAGAACCACAAGAATACATTTGAGAAGATACCCAACTTCCATAACTGCTCCCTTGAGTTGGGTTAGGGCCTTGTCGATGCACTCATTGTTGATCTGTGGAGGAGGATCGACGTGGCATCCTCCTTTCTTCTTCAAGCCAGAAGTCGACGTTGCTTTCTCACACGTAGTATCGTGCCTAGCCTCTAATCTAGCAACAAGTGCACTTGTCTCATCTACAGCCTCTAGGCTAGCTAAAAGTGCACGAACATGTACTAGATTTTGCTCTATCAATATATCGATGTACTCTTCTTCTCAATACCAAAACTTGTATCCATTCTACACAATAAAATTTAAAGTTAGCATAACTAATCTAATCCGAAAGCACAAACCGAAGCTAAAAAAAGCACGTATCCCATCGTTTAAGCACTTGATGAACACCCATCCGGGATGCTCCGGCGTTGTAGACACGCGGCGCACGACCATCCTTGGGCAGTGGTCGCACCTGATGAGGGGCAACGGAGCGCCGACGAGCTTTTGGGCAAGCACCGAGCCCGGCCGGCCGCCATTCGCGTATCTGCCGGCGGGGCACCGACGGTGCAGATCCGAGCGGCTAGATGACGAGCCACTGCCTGCATGTGGCCTTGCGGCCCTGCCAGGGCCTTCCGCGCGAGGTGCCCGGCCAGTCCATGGCGCGGCCCGGCCTCCCACGGCCGGGCGAGCTCAAGACCGACCGGATCCGTCCCGAATCCGGCCGGCGGGTGCGCAAACCAGGTGGCCGTGGTTGGGTAGCTCGGCGGTGACGAGGGGAAGGGGCTGGGCGAGCGCGCGTCAGTGTTGCACGGCCGCAATGGCAGCGGCGGCTGCGGCG